TTTTAGCTGTGGGGGATAATGAAGGTGACTAAGCATCAGGTTGGAAAATATCTAGGCTCTTCCCAAATCACAGGAGGATCAATTCAGAGTATCAAGCCCTAAGTGAAACACTTAGTGCTGGTCTGCACATCCTAAACTCATAACTCCGGTCATCTGAAGAAGCGGCCTGTGCCCCTGAAAGCTCATGATACCATCTACATGTTTTGTTAGTCTATAAAGTGCTACCAGACCTTTTGTTGTTTTTTAAGTTTATCCTGTACAGACTAACTCAGCTATCCCCTGAAGCTTCTATATTCTTTACTGTTCAGGTACCTTTTGGTAGATATGCAAGCAGTATATACTTTGAGCAGACATTAACATTTCACAGTGCTTTTAACAAGGCAGGCTTTACATTCAAATAGCAATTAAAAGACTCCCACAATTCTATGTCTATGCTGGAAAATCTTCCTTGGGAAGGATGAGCCTATGGACTAAGTGACGGGAAAGATTTTGGCTCTAGCCACAATGAGTCTTTCGACAAATGGCTGGCCTAATGCAGTGCTGCAAGAGTATTTATTTAGATTTAGAAAAGGGCTCCATTCAATCTCTGGGCAATTATTCCATAAACATAAAATTTAAAAAACAACAACAAATATAAAGGATTTCTCATCCTACCTTGAAAGAGAAAGAGACAGACGAACAGAACAAGAACTTTTCACTAGCAAATATAATGAAGATAAGAAGTTCAAGTCTGTCAGAGGAACAAATGACTATACAAGCAGATAAAGAACTTGATGGGCAACTGGGATAAAATTTCCTAATGAACTGTTTCAAGCTGCGCTAGCATGCTCTACACTGTGCTGTGTCAGAATTCTAACACACTCTAGTTACCAGTAACAATTATAGAATGCAACTTGTCCAACAGTGTCCAACTAAACAGATTTTTTCCTGATGAAGGTACTGCTATAAATCCACCATTCTCATTTGGAATACAAAAACAATATTTAAATATCTAATTAAACTACAGCATACAATAAAAAGTCAACTACATTAGCATCTTTACTGTCTTCTTTCTCCAGGTGCCTACTAGAGCCTTTGAGATTCTGTTAGTTGACAACTGGGTAGACTGTCAGGAGAACTCTACGGAAAGCTAAAATAATACATGCATGGTGGGGAAGTTTACTTAATCCTTGCGTATACTGCAGATTTGTCCTGATTACAGCCACCGGTTGTCTGGCTGGTGTAGCTGCTCTACTGAATTCCATAGTGCAGACAGGCAAATCCAGCATTTACACATAAAGAGTTCTTATAGCAATTGACACTGTCCACACTACAGATTTTTTTTCTGGTTCAGATATATTGGTTGTTGAGCAACAATAATTGAAATAGGGAAAATCCCCATTGTGGACAGACAGGTCTTAAACTGACATGTCAAACACCTCTCATGGATATGGGGCATTTAGCAAATAATAGTATTAAGCTATTTCCCCCACATTCCCCACAACCTCCCCTCCACCCTGCCCCCCGCCCCCACAAAATAAACCCTCAACCATCTTTGATGATCACCTTTAAAAATCCTGTTTGGGGATGTCAACGGGGGGCTAACCAAAGGCTTTCCTGGCAGGAAAAGCAAAGGCTTTGGTCTAATTTTGGATCTGTCACAGGAATTTAAGAGATGAATTAGACTTGTATTAAGGCAATAGAAAATTTTTCATGCGCAACAATCCAGAGCACTCCTCTTGTTTGAAACAGATACAGTTTAGCTTCAAAATGCTTGTGATACATCATACACACACTGTCTCCCTCCTACTGGCATTTGAGGTATCTTTACTGAAGTTTTAACACCATCAGACCTGGTTAAATTTAAATCTATGAATCAAATTTGTATTGTTTAATCAGTCAGTGGAAGAATAGTCTGGAATATCCAATGATTAATGTTGGTGTTCTTAAAGTGCAGTGGTAATCTTTAGCTTTGTATCCCCATGTTTATAATATGAAGAGCACCATCTGTTAGGATAAGTGCATGCTATGCCTGTTAAAAATTGAAACCTTGAGAAAGATCTTATACAGCATTCAAGAAAGTATCAACTTTGTGACCAGTGTCTGCTGCCAAATACTTGATATACAATTTAATTTTTCTTGGAAAGGAGGCTTTTAATAAAAAAAGGCAGTCTGAAAATCTGTTAGCAACTTCACTTGGGGAATGGTCTCTAAATACAGTATAAATATAAATAACTCCTTATTTTTATTTCTATAAATAAATTTGATTTCTCTGTTTTCTACATAAACAATTTCATATCTAGAATGGAAAGACATATTCCTTTCTTGAAAGACACCCATTTATTACACTGCCTTTTAATATACTTTACATCTCCAATCACACTCATTTAAGCTCATTTAATATATGTATCTATGTATGTATTGCTTGTTCCATGCATTTATAAACATATGTGCTCTGCAGACCAGGTTGCATAAATTCCCCATTTAGTTCCCAGAAAGCTGCTAACACAATAAAGTGCTTAATATTAACACTGGGATGAGATCAATTGCTTCAAGTCCCACACATTATCAATTCAGATAATAAGGAATAAGCAGAAGCATTAGACACAGGCTGAGATTTTTGAAACAGGCTAGGAAATTTGACAAACATCTTCTATTAATTTTAACGAACACATCTCAGTTTTCTAGACTAGTGTTCCTTAATTTTTTTGACACCAGGGACTTGCTTGCTACCTTCCTAAACTGTGTCAGGGAAAGCTCAGGGACCCATGCAAGTCCACAGACTCATAATTAAGAAACAATGTTCTGGACAAGTTTAGAAAAAAAAGTCTCAACCTCATATCTTCCTCTTTTATTTCTCTGGATAAGAAGCTAAGGAATGGTTGCTTTCAATAAGCTTTCAGATGAAATAAGAAAGCAATAGCCTACGACTATATTTTTATGTGGATCTTATTACTTTCATTTATTTTTTACACCTAAATTGGTGAATTCCTAAATGAAACTCTCTCCAACTACCACTGTTGTTATATGGCATATAGCAGCATCTGCTAGCATAGACTGAAGCTAAAGGCATATGTTGTACATGCCCTACTTAGATTTCATGAATTCGTTGTTCTATTATCTTCAAGTACCTTAAGTACCTGCGAACCCTATATACCAGTTCTGTGAAACACTTCCACAGTTCAATGGAATTGTGGTTCCAAGAAAGGGTATGTCTAGACTGCATCCCTCTTTCGACAAAGGGATGTAAATTAGACACTTAGAAATTGCAAATGAAGCTGGGATTTGAATTTCCCACACTTCATTTGCATAACTGCATCATGGCACTCTTTCGAAAAAGCGCCATGATGCAGTTATGCAAATGAAGCACGGGAAAGTCAAATCCCGACTTCATTTGTAATTTCTAAGTGTCTTATTTACATCCCTCTGTCGAAAGAGGGATGTAGTCTAGACACATCCCATAAAGAAACCCTTATCTGGTTTGAGATGCACTTGGAGTAACATTAACATGAGAGTTAGAGAGTTATCTTTCTGCCCAGAAAAACAGATTCTCATACACTTACCTCAAGTAGCATCTTATGCTTTAAGTGAAAAAGATGTTCTTCAATATGTTTGATGGATCCATATGGCTATATGGGATACTAAAATTTGGCCAGTTAGTTAATTTTCAAAGTCATATACAGTACCATTTTCTTTGTCTTCACATCCTACAATACCAATCTTACAAACACTTTTTGGGTGGAAAGGATATTATTATAACAGACCATGTTAACTGGAAGTTGTGGTGATGTGACACCCGGAAGCTTCCAGCAGTAACACCAGTGAAAATGAAGACCACTGAATAGTGATGAATCTGTTGGTAAAACTGAGTAAGTGCGATATTTGGACACTGTGGCAGGTTGTAGCCGCAGCTTGTCAATCTCTAAACTAAGCTTCAAAAATATATGTGCATGAAGAACAAGAACACACTACGTCATCTAATACTTCATATCAAGTGATGCAAATACAGTATTCCACAATGCTCCAGTCTCCTATATATCCATGTATTACTGGCATTTATTCTGATAGGGGATATCTGTATTCACCAATTAAAAACCAATATGAATTAAACCCAACATGGAAAAATATTTTGAGGGTAGGACTGAACCTTAGCTGATTAGATGAAGCCTAATACAGGGTCTCCCCACTATAAGTAGCCCTGGTATACATCTGTTTCTCACTGAAGTCCTCCCAGTCCCTGCTCTTAAGTCACGCAAAAAAAAAAAAAAAAAAATCCACAAATGAAGTCAGCCGCAGGAAAAAAATTCTCCACTTTAAGTTGTTTTGCTGTAAATCCAAGTTTTTGAAACTTCTCTTGAACTTATAGCGAAGATGGCCTGTAATATTTTCACTATTTAATGCCATTAAAGTAAAAAGTTGTTGTTGTTTTAATTAATTCTAACCTTTGGGTTTTTTGTTTTATTACGGGTTGGACCTCCCTGGGGACCTGACTAGTCCCAGATGAAGGATTTATCAGACCAAGGGAGGTCATTTCTGGACCCCTACTTCTGGCCACGCCCTCTGCCCTGCTGCTCTACTGGGCTTCTAGGCTCCCTCCTGACCTTCCCTCCCACCTGCTGCAGCCCAGTTGAGCCACACGCCGGCTCCCAGCCACCTCTATATGCCAGCTGAGCCATGTGTTCCCTCTTCTCTCCCTGCATTGCGCCAGGCTCCCGACCCCCCAACCGCAACATCACCTGCAGTACACCAGGACTCTCTGATTCTGGAATATCCATGGTCTGGACCAGAGAGTTCCGGTTTATAGAGGTGCAACTTTTACCTATAATAAGATTGAAGTAGGAAAATGGCACGCAAATTAATATTTAAATCAATCTCAATTTAAGTAAAACTGGTAAAACAGAGTGGAAAGCAAAATATTTCACATACAACACAGCTTGTCAAATAAAACATGAGAAATTATGTCAAACTAATAAGTGTCACACCAAAGACTTACTATAAATTGGGAAAAAAAACATGCTTGCCTTTTAGCTCTTTGACATAGCTCTCTTTGCAGTTGTGCATGAGTTGAAGAATCCATTTGTGCTGGGCACCAATACACTGCCAGGCAGGGTCTCCAGAAGCATGCAGGTCAGAAAGGTATCTGCAAAAGCAAATTTGCAGCTCAGACTTGACACACTGAAAACTTAAAAGTATAGCAAAAAGATTAATAAAAAAGTATCTTTTCTGTACTTGTTCGGGGGTGGGGAATTAAAGATCCAGTAAAATTTTAAATGAGAGATATTTACACAGCAAATCAGAACAAGTTTTGCTTGTTCCCTTCCTAATTTAGTGAAGGCAAAGACTTACCTGACCCCCCCTCCCAAGAAAAACCCCTAAAACAGAAACAGAACATTAATAGATAGCCTGTTATTCCTCCAATACCTGAAACCAAGTTCTTTCTTTATCTGTTAAGACCTTAGCTCAATGCTCTGTGTTTGTTGACATCATAAATATCTAATCTACTATATTTTTCTAATCTAGTTATATTCTGATCGTATCATCTTTTTAATCCTGAATGGGACTATAACAGATGAGTAAAGCAGGAACAATTATTTGGGGATGGAGGGTTGGGATGAGAGAGAGAAAATGGATGACTTGTGTGACAGACTAGAGGAGGTTCCTTGAAAATATGGCCTTAAATTTCTAGGAAAGGGGGTAGGAGAAGCACATCACCAGGTATGTAGAAAAAATCCCAACTCCTATTCAAAATCATCTGTATTTGCAAAAATAGAGACTGTAGAAGTTTATGCCCAGCATATCTAAAACCGAAGTATATAGGGCTTTGAATGTATGTGACAACAATAACTGAATAACTTTGCCTTCAAAGTGCTTCAAATAAAAGTGCTTAAGTATTAGAAAATCTACTGTTTTGTATACTACAAAGTTTCTTGCACTACATAAACAAAGAATGAATATAGCAATGCAAGATACCCAAGATGAAATACACTGACTTAAAATACTGAGCAGTACTTAGAAGTGCATAACCCTTTCACAAAAGCTAGATTATTACATCTGAGACATGCTAATTGATATGATTGCAATATTCCAACTCTTAAGAATTGTCTATGGTACTTGAGACATATAGAACAACTTGTTTTTGTTAAAGGATGCTCATTTAGACAGACGACATTTTTTAAAAATGAATAGTTGTGGAAGATTTATAAATCCCAAGCTCAACCCCATCAGTTTTTGTAAGGACTTGAATCTGCATTTGACTCAATTAAGGAAACATTTCCACTTTAAAAAAACCTTTTTCCTGGCTTTGGGAAAGATATTTAATGAACACGACAAAAGACTTCTAAACAGTAGGATGCAGTTATTAGTCTAAAACATGATATGCAAAAAGATAAAAATGGATTGACACACTTTTAGTCTTTTTGACAAAGACATTAATTTTGTGGGGTGGTGGTGGGGAATAATTTATGGTGTTTGATTACATTCCCACTGACATACTCAGGATGTAGGGAACAATAGAATTATCAATGAAGTGAAACAAGATTTCGTGAGGATACAATATTTTTATTCAGAATATTTAAAAATCTTAGGGTTTGGATTTTTAAAACATATTTATGTAATTAGGACCACTTGGGAGAATAAAATCGGTACACTCTAGCCGTATTCAGGAAATGTGCACTAATACACCCATATTACTATAGTTACACCTATGTAAACCAGTAGGTTGCGTCTATACTGGCATGATTTTGCGCAAATACTTTTAACAGAAAAGTTTTTCTGTTAAAAGTATTTGCGCAAGAGAGCATCTATACTGGCATGTGTCTTTGCGCAAAAGATTTGCTTTTGCGTAAAAGCATCCGTGCCAGTGTAGATGTTCTCTTGCGCAAGAAAGCTCCGATGGCCATTTTAACCATCGGGCTTTCTTGGGCAAGAAATTAACGTTGCTGTCTACACTGGTCTCTTGCGCAAAAATACTTGCGCAAGAGGGCTTATCCCTGAGCGGGAGCGTCAAAGTATTTGCACAAGAACCACTGATTTTGTACATTACAATGTCAATGTTCTTGCGCAAATACTCGCAGCCAGTGTAGACAGGTGGCAAGATTTTACACAAAAGCAGTCGCTTTTGTGCAAAATCTTGCCAAGGTAGACACAGCCGTAAAGTAAACAAAATGTACTGTGAAGCAGGACTTGCACTGGTGTGGCTTCTGCGAGTAACACCTCAAATTAACCAGGACTAAACTAAGCCCCATTTTGTAACTACAATTAGTGTAGACATACTGGTGTAAGTTTCTTTAATTTAGGCAGGATCATTCCTAAGGATCCAACACTTCTGCCACTTCAGTGAGGGCATGAAAAGCTCCTATACATTTCTGCATCTTCCCAAGTAGCACTTAAAAAAGGGAGTAACATGATTTTCCTTTTTCTAAGGAAAGACTTTTTAAAAACTTTTAAGAACATTTTATATATCATTTTAAAAAAAGGAACAAACATCTTTGCTCCTTGAATCTTCACTTTAATTCCCTGACATAGCAATTACATACAATTAATATAACTCCCAAAAAGTGTTTGTACAATTCACACATAAGAAGAATGGTCACTGTAAGGAAGAACTTACAATTTATTGATCAAATTTGCAATGTACTTAAACTAATGCCTAACTTCGAGCACGAGTAGTTCTATTGATTTCAACAGGTCATATGATTAAAGTTAGACACTTAATTTTTCTTAATTGGAGCCTAAGACGCCAATCATGCAATTTATTCTGTGCACACAGAGCAATCTGGGTGTCAGTGCATATCCTGGGGTTTTGAGATTGTCTGAAGAAGTGGCTGATGTGGATTCTGCCCTATGTGACAGGGGGCCCACGTCAAGAATGAAGCTGGAGGGTATGTATACACAGCTCATGGCAGCAAGTCTTCTGGGTGGGGCTGAGAGACTTGAGCTATTGCTACTGCACTAGAAATAGCTATGTAGACAGTGTTTTGAAGCTGGAGCTTGGGCTGGAAGCTCGGGCTCTGAAGCCTACCATATACCTAACACTTCAGAGTCTGAGTTCCAACCTCAATGCCACAATGTCACCACAGCTGTTTTTAGCATGATAGTATGAGCTCAGGTCTCAACCTTGCTTCTACAGGCTGTATAACTATAGCCCTTGCATCTAGAGGCCAGTGGATTTAAAGCAGCGGTTCCCATTCACCAGTGTGAGGACTGGCACCAGGCTGCAGCAGCTCTGGGGTTGGGTCTAGAGTACACCGCCCAGTGCCTCTCCACCCACCACAGCTGTTGGGAGAGGTTTGTCCTGCCCCCCCTCTCAGCCAATCAGCACTGGGCCTGGGCAGGCTCTCCTTCTGGCCATGGAAGAGTGGTTTGCTGCACAGCAGGAGGGCCACGTGAAGCCCAGCATGGCAGCCTTACAGCAGCGGTGTTTAGCTAGTGGCTGGGAGACAGCACAGGGCTAGGTGAGGGGGGGGCAGGGCAGGCACTGGGGGGGGTCAAGGGACATGGCTAGTGCTGAGGAGCTCTGGGGGCTAGGGGACTCTAAGAAGCAGGGGGCCGGCACTGGAGAGGTTCTGGGGGGCAGGGCTAGCACTCAGGAGCGCTAAGAGGTGGGGGGGCTGACACTGAGGGGACAATGGGGCATCCAGGGTGGGGAGCTGGGGGCAGGGATAATATTGGGGACTGAAAGCTGGCACTGGGGGAGTCTCGGGGGGTGGGGGGTTAGATGCAGTGGGGCTCTGGAAACAGGAGGCTGGCATTGGGGGGTTTGGTGGGGGGGCTCGCACTGAAGGCTCTGAGGGTGGGAGGCTGACACTGGTGGGTTGGGTGCAAGGAACTCTGGGGTCAGTGGCTGACGGTAGTGGAGGGGTGGGGTTAGGGCTGGCAGTGGGGGATTTAGGTGGTCGGCGCGTACCCCAGTCCCGGTCCCCAGAGCTGCTGTGAACAGCTGGTCTTCAGTTACAGCAGCCGCCCGCCACATGGCAACCATAGGAGATAAAGCAGGCTTGCTGTGTAGATGTGTACACTGTTATTTCAAAATAACATCAGCTATTTTGAAATAAGCGTGCAATGTAGACAGAGCCTAAGAGATTACGCAAAACAGGGCGACACTGGCAAAAGGCTGCTAGTGTGGGGAGTTCAAAAACACTTTAATACTAGCATGCGTTATCTCTCTGGGAATGCAGTTGTAAGAAAAATGTCACTGATCCTGGGTATTTCTATGCAAATTAATCTATCTGCTCATGTTCTAAATAATATTATCACTTGTTCCTATTAAAAGGAGTAAGAGCCAAAAAGATAATCTGAAGAATAAAACCTTTTGACTAGAAATTCAAATTAACACTTTTTTAGCATTTTTAAATCCAAGAAATCCAAGACATTCGTGCTAAATCAAGATGGATTATTATTAATGAATATGCAATCCATTTTGAAATCTGTATTCTCAGTGATTACTTCAGATGAGACCCATAGTGTGATAGTTTTTACTAGAACCTTGATGTAAATACAAGTTTTTTCAAAGCTTTTTAATAATCAATGAATGAATGATAATTGGGATTAAATTCTTCATTCGGGAGGAGTGTCATTTATTGCACAATACAATTTATTATTGTCTTTATTTCCATAGTCCTTGAATTGAAAATGATAATCTCAGAACAAAAATCAGTGTTTAAAATGTATTCTCTGGGAAATGCACAGACATGCCTCTGACATACCATATATCTGACAAAGATATTAGGTAAAGGATCACCTTATATAACGTTTTTGATCATGTAATGTTGATGGAGTCTCAAGCAATTTATCCAGAAGAAGATCTCTTAGGGCTCCAATTCGTGTTTCAACTTCAGCATAATCTATGAAAAAGGGAATGCAGAATTCCAATATACATGTCTTTGCTTGAAGTGTTATACTGAAAATTTCAATATTTTCTCAGTAAAATCTCACAGATTTAGGATAAAACTAATGAATTTGAACAAGTTTTTAATTTAACCATTTCTGACAAGATTAATCTTCAAATACCACCAAATTACTATGTTTTTCCTAGGAGGTTTACATTTAAAAATGGCTTTGTTAGCTCTGTGTTCAGTAGTCTAGGCCGCATTATTTTCCCTACCCATAGGAGTCAAAATCTATTGTCTTTTTACATATGCGGCCATGGCCCCTGCTTATTACCATAAATAATATTTCCTTAACTTCATTGTGTGTTCATTTTGGATTAGTTTTGTTTTTGCAATATCACTAATTTCACCAGATGGATGGCAATGTTCTCTGTTCATTTTCTTCTCAAATGGATTTTTAAAAAATAATTTAAAAAAAATGTTATAAAAGATTTTTATGCAGAATTAGAACTTTGTTCTTAATAAGTTTCTAGACTCAGTAATTTTGAATTGGATATTCCAAAAATCAAGCAAGGTATATGTACTCTTTACTGTAATTTACATCTGAAAGAGTTCTTTTAACAACAATTTTATAAAAATACAAACCTTAGCTTTGAAGTTTTTTTTCACAAATACACCAAGTGAGGGACACTCTAAGCTGTATCCTGTAGTTACTGAAACCTGTTTTATGTCTAGTAATACTAAGCCTTTAAAAAAATTGGCTGCAAGCTCCTATTATATATACTACAAAGTAATATGTATCTCTCAGATGGAAAACTTGCCAGAAATATTGTTTAAAGTAATTGTTCCAAATTCTAAAGAGGGCTCTGTATAAACAGAAGCTGAAGCCCACATAAGGCTTCTCACGGTGCTACATGTTCTTTATCTTTCCTGTTAAAAAACAGCAGTGAATCAAAGTAACTGAACCCAAATCTTACATTTTTTGAACACTTGAACTTCAGTCTTCCCAAACAATGACTTGGCTTTTTCATAGTCATTAATGACCACATCGTAATCACCCTTTAAAATAAAGGCACATTGGAGATTTGTCACAATAAAAAGATACTGTGGAATTATTATTATAGGAAAAAAATCATTTGTACTTATTTTTTAAAAGCACTATACCTTTTGGATATTCCTTTCAATATTAAGAGGAAGGTTGAAAAGAAATTTAAAACGTTGAAGGACATTGAGTGCATTTCTTGTTGAATCTGCCTTATCTTTGCGACCCAACACTTCTTGGAATAAAGTATCTGCAGTGTTACTTGCCCCTATTTCAAAGGAGAGAGGGGAAAAAAAGAAAAGAAATGAAGTGGTCACTGCAGAATAAAATCACTCTATATTTCTCAGTAGATAATCTTGTTTTTCAAAGATTACTGTATGTTAATTATAAAGTAGTGAATAATTACTGCTGATTCTATAAACTCAGATTAATACTTCAATGATTTCTGTTCAGCTATATTAAGCATACATCACAATTTACTGAAACACTATTTCAGTGCTGATCACTTAGCCTTTTTATGCGGTGAGCCTTCCATACAATTAAAAACAACCACATTTTCCAAGGTCAAGTGCTTAGCTTCACTGTGGTGATTTTATAGTTTGTTTTGGCCATCAAGCTCAATTTTACAGTTAATCTATGCCTTTTAAACTATTTGATCATCAGAGACTGTGGTTTTTTAGAACAGAATATAATGAAACCTAGCTGATTCCTAGCTGCAAGAGTTGGTTTGGGGGGCGGGAAGTGTATTTCTTTTTTCTGTACATCTATATAAAGCAAGGTTTTTTTTAAATCCATTAAGATCTTGTTTCCCCCCAATGGATATCCTTAGATCTTTAGCATTAAAATGCTTATTCTAAAAAAATAAACTATACAATAATTAGAGACACACATAAGTAATTATCAGAACTTACTATTGGAACACCAGCATATAAGGATTGCAGTCAACAGTAAAATTCTCATTGCCTTCACTGGATGCAAAATCAGGTCTTATATTAACAAATTTTGTATGAATAATAATTCCTATATTAATCTTTTAACATTTACTTTTTTTTAATCTAACCACATTCTAAAGAGAATAAAATTATTTTCCCTAGACTACAAAGTCTTGTAATATTTTGTACTAAAAATGTTTTTCATAATTATTTGGCTCAGAATAATAACATTTCCATTGCAATAAGGAATATCAGTAAGGGATATAAAATAGTTACATCTTTCAACTGGACATTTTTAATTAGGCAAACAAATGAAAAAAGAGAGAAAAGAACTGTTTTAGCTTTTTAGATCGCTGCTTGTAAAAAGTGTCTACATTATCTGGTCTAGTGACTATACTTTAAGCAAAGATGAAAAAATTACATCAGTCTCGCTGGGTGGCTTGCATGCCATTTTCTCTAGTCAACACTGTGGGTGGCCTGCTCATGTTAAAAGTAGTCTTTGTAAAATAATTGTTAAATCTAAATAATGTTTAATCTGTTGAAATTTTGAAGCTCTGACATAAAAATCTTTGTTCTATCAGGAGAACCATTTCTGCTAAATGTGATTTAAGGCAAAATAGTTTAATTCATTAAGAAAAACCCACCAACATATTATGTAACTGCACTCCAATACAGATTGTGAATAAAAGTATGATATTTTTTCAAATGCCTGTTTTAATATATTTTCTAAAATATAAATAGAATCACTGTTTTATATTAAATCACAACTTGCTTATATATTCATTTAATAGTTACACAAGTCATTTATTTTCTGGTAATTATATTTATGAGCATAAGGTATTTTCCCTTTACACAAAAGAAACCTTCTGTAAAAGTGACTAACAACTGCAAAATTGCACAAGGATATTTGCCTTTAGTTTAAAAGAATCCATAACTCAATTCCTTGAAGAAATAATATGCTTTATTATTTCTCAGTACCATTTTAATACATTTACATCTGTTTTCTACAGATTATTCTTAATTAAATTTTGAGAAATATCAAATCAAATTAGTAAAATGTTAAATTCTATAGCCTATACAAGAAAATGTTTTTCTTTATAGTTACACAACTGTACCTGATGCAAAATCCAGTGCTTCAGACTCCAGATATTCCTAACCATTAAAAACACTGGCATTTTCCAGACTGCTAGGCAGATGCATATTTAAAAGGAGTTAGTATAAATGTATATTTTTTTCTCCAAAAGGGTAAGCTTCAAACAGCCCTCAAATCTTGACCTCTGCGTAAAGACCTATGCCTACAATGCTAAAGTCAATGGGACTTTTGTCACTGTCCTCCTCAATGGGCACAAGAATCAGGCCTGAAGAAATATACTTTTAAAAGTTATATCAGACATCGTGCAAAATAGATCTTACCAAAAGACTACACAACAGTTTTCCTTCTTCGGAAAAAGCATATTGAACAACTGCATCTCAAACATATAGAACAAAACACAGAACAGATTTTGACTCAGTTATCAAGTATATCTTGCACCTTGTTTTGACAAACAAAACCACCACCAAATTTATGGATGTATTTAAATATGGGAGCAAAGGCATTAGATGAATAAATTGTATACTTTGAGTCCATAAGCGATTGTTCCTCTTCCCCCTAATTTGAGCTGGAACACCCAAAAATCAGAGGCTATTTTTGAAAGTCAGGCCGATAAAATCATGGACTATGGGAACACTCCAGAGCAGAATACTTAACAACTAATACAATTTTAAACTGAAAATAGAACAGAATTAGGGTTTTCATCTTAAGTGACATTGCCTAATGTTATTCTCTCTCTTTTTAAAGCCCATGCACTGGCCCATCCAAGTTCCTCTATCATAACTTGCCCAACTTCACAGGGACAGAAAAGCTACAATTCTTTTCACAGCAAAGAAAAAAAAAAACATTCTGAAGTGGCTGGCACAAGCTACTCTAAAAAGTTGACTTGCAAAAGATGGACTACATAACTTGTATACAGATTTCATCTTCCACTTGCTAGAAAAAGATCACAGAGTCTATTGTTAATCTGAAGTCTCTCACAAGCAGTCTTTGAGAGAGTACACAAATGGCTCTAAATGTAGCATGCTTTTGTTTGGTTCTTTTATACTTTTATATTTTAAAAATGTACTTTGGTCAAAATAAAATAGTTCGCACTGACTTTACATGTGGCTTGGTATGAAGAATATGGCATTGTGTGTTAGGCCTAAAACTTTGGCACATATTAGGGATGTTAGAAATTGTTTATTTTAGTAGTCATGTAGCCACAACAATTCTTAGCAGTTACAGGGTTACTAAAATGTTCCCCCCTGCCAGGGGCGTAGCCAGCAGCCAGTTCGCTCCCTGTCTCACTCCCGGCGAGACCTCTGCCACCCCGTGCTGCTGCCTCTGTACAAGAGGCAGCAGCGTGCAATGGCAGGCGAGAGCTGGTCCACAAGGGGAGCTGGATTATAAATCCGCTTTGCTCATGGGAAGCCCCCCACCTCCAGACAGGGACTGCAGGCAGGAACCAGTTTTTAAACTGGCTCCCGGCACTGACCAACTCCTCCCTGCCGCCCCTCAGTGCTGCCTCTGATAGAGGCAGCAACATGGGGTAGCAAGTGGCTCTCTTGCGTATTCGTCATTTAAAACTTGGACTAGAAGGCTGGAACTGAGCCAGCCTGTCAGTCCTAGTTTTAAATGCAGAGCATGCAGGGGGTGGAGGGTTGTTGCAGTTAACCAGGACAGTTAACCAACAAGCAATCACTAATTGGTTAAACGGTTAGATGGCTAGCCGCTAACATCCCTTTCACATATATGTTTTTTCTATGTGTATCATTTTTCCTATGTAAAAAAAAAAGATGTATGGACACAAACTATTCAGATAGCAAACTGAAAATACCAGGTTTTTCCGAGGGTGTGGGATCTGAGAGGGAGTTTGGGGATGTGATCATGGGCAAGGAATTGGGGTGAAGGCTCCAGGGCCACGGTCACCAACCGGTAGATCGCGAGCTCCCGGTCGATAGCAGGGGCTCTGAGTTGATCTTTAGCGCTGTCTGCTCTGAGCATGGTGCAGCTGGGATGGGGCAAAGAGGAGTGGCTGCCCGGCCAGCTAGCCATGGTGTTCAGCCCAGGTGCACCACGCTCTACCTGGGCTGGAGCTCAGGGGAAGCTGCCTGGTCAGCTGGCCGCGGTGTTCAGCAGAAGCAGAGGCTATGTCGCTCTCCTGCTGGCTGGG